AGAGAGGGCTCGGTTATATATGAATTTGCACATCAACAACAGTTTTTCTATAGTCCAAGAATCAGCAGGCAGGGTTTATTTAGATAAGCCAGCCCATCCATGTTTATTCATATTAAACATATCCAAATTCTGTGTGAAAATAGAAACTGAATTGTATGCCTCACCATGAATTTCTCTGTTTCGTGCCTGACTCCCAGACAACTGCTTTTGCACTGCATCAATGAGCTCAGGACTCGAGCAGTTCTTGGTGCCAACCTGATCATAGTTGGATAATTTACAGATGTAAAATAATTTCCTCTTTGAAATAGGGACTCAGAAAAGCCTAACAAAAATTATAATATGCAAAACTCTCATTCCCATTAAATGTAATGTTTGCTATACACACATACACTACAAAACAAAGTAATTTAATAAATAACACCAAATTTTATCATAAGCAGGAAAAACTTGGAATTGGCAACAATTGCGGGTTTCATTTATAATGCTTTCTCATACTCAGCTACCAGGATCGAACTGTTTTCAAGTTTATTCTGGGAATACCTTTCTCCCATCTAATTGCATGGAAAATACTTGAATTTCATCAAAATTCATTAAATACAGGCGACAAAAGCAACCTAGAATGACACCTGCCAATGTTTTTTTATCCTTGCTATGAACAAATGCATAAAGAAACCACAATATCCTATTAAAACATCAAAAAGAGCTGCACACAGCACCCATCAAAAAGTGGTAATCAAATTTACCCTCGATGGAGGTTGTAAGATTGAGGAGAAAATTCCAGATGAAGTTGAAGATGGGGACGACTCCTTTACACCAAACAGATCGTTAGTGAATGATGAAGATGAACCAACTCGCTTATTGTTTTCCATTACAAACTCTCCTTTTCTTTCTTTGAATTAATAGTGATTAATGTACAGGAGTTGCAGAAAACTGAAGCCTGATTTATATACAGTAGAGAAGGATAAGATTTTCTTGAAATAGAGACTTGTGCCCATACTGTACTGCCAGCCCAGGTGCGCAAGGTCCACCATGAAAGGTTTGTACTAAAGCTTAATACGTTTCTCATGACATTTCCTTTTCAATCAATTCAGGTTGGGTAAATGATTCATGCACGTAATGTTTGATATAATTATTGACATATTGTCACATGTTAATCTATTATCGAACTATTTAAAAGGTGGTCAATTTTTTCAGCCAATCACATCTTGCCAACATCTACATACTTTCTGACAGAACTATTCTAGATAAATATCATATGCGGTTACTTAACTTTTAGCGAAAGTACGATTCTTTCACTAAACTTTAATTTGTCTCAATTTGATAATTAAACTTTAAGTTAATTCTAGTTGGATCGCTTGACTTCAATTTTTGTTTTGAATTATTATTAAATTTCACCATTCGTCATTTGTAACCTCTCAAATCAATGAAAAAATTGTCTAGTTAGCAATCATACCGCTACATGTCTTTACTATTTATAAGTGAAAATAAAATATTATTTATGAGTAATTATTTTTAATTAAGTTCAACCTCTATGAATTTGTGCAGAAGTTAATAATACCGTTGGACACATCCAAATATTGAGGAAAGATGGAAAGGTCATTGTCAAAGAGAGAGGTCGAAACTCATCCATCACTTTTCGTTTTTAAAACTGTCAATCGGATAATTCTCTTCAAATGTGTAACCAAATTCTTTCTCATCTTCTTGCACGAATTCCAAAATTTAAAATATTCTCGTCAAATTACGTAAAGGTGACGAGAGTTTGTACCATATTTAACTTTATTTAACTCGTCTCACTCATCAACTTTACCTAAATTTACATATACAATATTTTAATAAAAAGTTATTGCAATCATGTGGATAATTACATTTATTTTCCTTCAAAAAATTGATTTTTTACCACCCCTCGT